AAATATAGGGAAAACTCTTGAATAGTACCCAGAACTTTGGGGGTTGTCTCAAGTTAGTCCACAAACTTTAAAACGTGTCTCTACAGTACCCTAAACTTTCAAATTGTGTCTAATATGTCCCTATCGTTAGTTGACCATTAGTCAATCTATCATGTGACATTAGGTGCACATTAAATACTTTCAAAATGACAAAATTACCCTTTATAATATTTTTCTGACCATATTACCCATTTTCATTTTTAGTGTTAGAAGAAGGAAAGGGGAAGAAGGGTTATGAAACTAGACATGGATCAACTCTTGAAGCTCCCACTCCCTTGTTCAAGCTCCCCCATTCAAACGATCAACTGTTATTGGACGATCACTTGTCCGGTTTCATAATCCTTTTTCTCCTTTCCTTCTTTTAACACTTAAACAAAACGGGTAAAATGATTAGAAAAATATCATAAAAGGGTAATTTTGTTATTTTAAAATTATTTAATGCACACATGACGTCACATGACGGTGTTGGTTGATGGTCTATTAGACACAATTTGAAAGTTCAAGATATGCAGACACATTTTGAAGTTTGGGAACTAATTTAACACAACCCCAAAGTTCAGGATACTATTCAAGAATCTTCCCTAAAATATATGTCCATCAATTTTTTTTTGTTTTTTTTTTGAATTTTTTATTTGAAAATTTGAACAAATAATTAAAGTAGCTAATCAATCTTTAAGACTAATAAATACAAAGACATTCAATTGTGCAAGTCCTTTCTTTTAGATAAAATGGATTGCAAATTATAAATTAAACCTAATTTAATTTTTTAAAAGGGTAAATTTCATAAACTTTCCTTATGGTTTAGCCAATTCGTTAAGTGTACCTTTATTATTTGAAAATTGATTGATGCTATCCTACTGTTTCTAACAATTGACTAATACTGTCCGTTAATAGAAAGATAAAAAGCTATTTTACCCTTTATTTTTCTTCAAATTTTCAAAATAAAACAAGTAAAATAACTGTGGCGGTTTAACCGGGGTGGCGGAAGCCTGCTTCTCGGCGTTGTACCAGTCTTTACGAACCAAAGAAACAGAGCTCCTATCCCTGTGGAATTTCAGAAACCAAGAACACATTCTAAGACCTCGTTCGGGAACGACGAAGCCTTCTTCTTCTCCTCCTCCAGCGTATCCTTTTGCCTCTTAGAAGCCATGCCTACTCAAACTTCAAAATCTAAACCGTCACGCAGACAGAAGGAAAAACTGAAAAGGGCTTCAGAGAGATAGTGATAGTCATCGTTGCTACTACCTACGATTTCTTCCACGTGCAGGTGGTTTGTGCAGATCTGAGATCGTTTTCCTCGTGGCTTGTGCAGTAGAGGAGAAGGCAGGCGGCGATTTCCTCAACCACCGCTGCAAGCTCTCTCTTCTCTCCGTTCTTCCCCTCTGTTCGTCAACAGCGGCGGTTTTGAAAAATATATATATTGAGTCATTCCTCTTGAATCTGGCTGGGAGAAGAGAAAACTGAAGCCTGAAGTTTCTATACCCACCGTAATTCTCGGGGGAAATTTGCAGGCCAAAAGAAAGCAAAAAGATGGAGGAGATTTTTGTTGCAATTTTGTCCATGTTTCTTGCTCTGGCGTTACTCCCTCTTTATTTATGGAAACGCCGTCAGGTTTCTAGATCTTCTGATGGTCGAGAAGAAGATGAACAGGTTCGTGTTTTTCAATTATAAATTCAGACGTGATTGCTTTCTGAAATTTTGATATCCTTCCAATGCAATCTCATTTTTTCCCCCTTTCCTTCCCCGTTATAACTTCAAGAACTTGAACCCTAGCTTTAATTGTGCTTTTTTTTGGTGGCTTGGATTATCGCGTGATACGGCTCGGAATACATTCTATGCGTCTTTCTTTTTTCTTCTCCCTAACTTCACTTAGGACTTTAGTGATGAGCATAGTGTGCAGATTTTCATTTTATTTTTTGTTTTTATCTTTTATCAAATTTTTGTACTTTGTTGGAAATTAGAATTTGATTCTTTCTAGGGTAAAATTGGGTTTTAAAAAATATATATTGAGTTTTGACAAAATATTAACAGAATTTAATAGTAAATGATGAGGGCGGATTTAGTCCTCCAATAATATTGTGACACATGGCACCTCAGAATAAATAGGTGACACCTGAAACCATTTAGGCAACAATTTGCCTTAACCAAGTTGATGGTTTCCCACCTGGCGACTTGACCCAGGCGTGACCTGGCAGCCTGGCCCAAGCGCTGACCTAGCGGCCTGACACAGGCGTCGACCTGGCGACCTGCGAGACGTGCTCGCCGAGAAATTCGACATGCATATCCTAACACTCCCACGATCCTTGGAAGTTGGCCCACGTGCTGAATGATCCAGAGGGTGGTCAACATGCATGACAGTTGCCTCAGGGAATCTCGGACCACTTAGACGACTTCTCGGAAATCTTGGATGCGGAGTGTGAAACCCACGCCAAACAATGCCTATATAAAGGCACAAACCCCAATGGCATAGGGGGGCAAGTAAGCATATTCTGGCTCTCATACTTTGTGATTTTTAACTCGTAGTTTACTATGAAAGTACTGACTTAAGCATCAGAGCGACCTCGTCGGGTTAGCCACCCCCGGGTCCTCTGACATTGATTCCTTGCAGGTCTCTAAAGAACTACGAAGCTCAACAATCAATCCAGCTTGGCAACTAATAGGCAGCTCAGCCCTCTGGTCAGCTCGGCACCTAATAGCCAGCTCGACTCTCTGGTCAGCTCGTCACCTAACCTGCCTAGCTCGGCCTAGTCAGTTCGACACCTAACCTGCCCAGCTCGGCCCAGTTCACTTGGCACCTAATCTGCCCCCAGCTCAGCCTGGTCAGCTCTGCATCCAGGTCCTCATCCAGCAAAAGTTCACTTCGGCCTCTGAGTCATCGGCCACTTGGAAGCAAACCAAATGACGAGGTACTTAGCACAAAAAATTAATACATAAGCAAAAATTGATTCATCAATTGGCGTTGTCTATGGGAAGCACTACAAAAAGCTAAGTTCTCATCCTCTAAAATGCTAAGTTTTCTTCTTCTATAAAGCTAAGTTCTCACCTTTTAGAAACTAAAAGCTCTCACTTTCTAGTTTCATTTTTTTATGAACTCAAAGATTATGCAGGAAGTTGATGGCCAACAAACTAAGCAACTCTACCAGCTTTATTTCAACTCAGATAAAGCCTCATCAGTCCTCTTCGCGAGGTACCCTCTACAAAGATGAGCTGTTCGTGGCTTCTGCGGGAGTAGGCAGCCAATAGACTGCATGGACGCCCCTGCCGGTCGAGACTTCCAAGGCTCCTGTGCGAATTGGTGACGTAAAGTTAGTAGTGCTGCCCCCATAGGTCGAGCTCTAGTAGCTTCTTGTAGGATTGGGTAACCAACGTCACTAACGAGGCTGATGCAGCGTAGCCATAGCTCTAAGGTGCAAAGTTGATAAAAGACCTTGGCACCACATAAGACCCAATTGCCTCTTCGACATGGGCAAAATCAAAGATTAAGGAGAGTGGACTACGAGTCGCTCCCAGAGCCTAAGGGCTAAAGTGCTGAACTGGCAAAGACTTCGGCACCACATAAGACCCAGTCGCCTCTTTGGCATGGGCAAAATCAAGGGTAAGGAGAGTGGAGTGCGAGTCGCTCCCAAAGCCTAAGGAATTGAATCGACGCTTACGAGCTCATCGAATTAGTCATTTCAGGCCAAAAGGAGCAATCTATTCCCTTCGCCGAATTACTTTCAGCTCGGGAGTGGGGAGCAAATGATGAGGGAGGATTTGGCCCTCCAATGATATTGTGACACATGGCACCTCGGAACTAGGTGACACCCGGAACCACTTAGGCAACAACTTGCCTTAGCCAAGTTGATGATGTCCCACCTGGAGGCCTGGCCTAGGCGCAACCTGGCGGCCTCGCCCAGGTGTCGACCTGGCGACCTGCGAGACGTGCTCGCCGACAAATTCGATATGCATATCCTAACACTCCCACGACCCTTGGAAATTGGCCCACGTGCCGAACGATCCGGAGGGTGGTCAACATGCATAGTGGTTGCCTCAGGGAATCTCAGACCACTTAGGCGACTTTTCGGAAATATCGGATGCGGTGCGTAAAACCCACGCCAAACAATACCTATATAAAGGCACCAACCCCAATGGCATAGGGGGGGGGGCAAGTAAGCATATTCTGGCTCTCATACTTTGTGATTTTTAGCTCGCAATCTACTATGAGAGTACTAACTTAAGCATCGGAGCGACCTCGCCGGGTTAGCCACCCCCAGGTCCTCTGACATTGATTCCTTGCAGGTCTCTAAAGAACTACGAAGCTCAACAATCAATCCAACTCGCCACCAGGGAGTTCGGCCCTCTGGTCAGCTCGGTGCCTAATAGGCAGCTCGACACTATGGTTAGCTCGTCACCTAACCTGCCTAGCTCAGCCCAGTTAGTTTGACACCTAACTTGCCCAGCTCGGCCCAGTTAACTCGGCACCTAATTTGCCCCTAGCTCGGCCTGGTCAACTCGGCATCCAAATCCTCATCCAGCAAAAGTTCACTTCGACCTCTGAATCATCGGCCACTTGGAAGCAGACCAAATAACAAGGTACTTAGCGCACATAATTAATATATAACCAAAAATTGATTCATTAGTAAAGATGAAGTTAATCAATTGTTAAAAATAATAGGGATAGAATTAGTCAATTTTCAAATAGTAAGAATACAGGTAGTCAATTAGCTAAACCATAAATAGTTTAAAAAATTTACCCTTTATTAAATTAAATAAAAAATACGTGAGAGTCTGCACCCCACAGGGCGCATCCCATCTCGCCCTACATGCACATATCAACGTGCATTACGAACATCTCCCACAGTTGTCATTTGGGAGACGTTTTAAATACACGATTGGGATGTGCTGTGGGGCGGGCGTGGGGCGTAGATGCGAATTCTTTATTATGGGGTTTAAGAACTCGAATTGGATTAGGGTTAACTCAGCCCAACATAACCCGGCCCGACTTGTGATGGTAATTGGCAAAACCTGATTGGAATTGCAGGAGAAATAAAACTGTAATCGGAGACTCGCTATCCCTCTTTCTTTCGTTATTCCAGACCATGCTTTCTTTGGAGCTGCAATAGTCCAGAATCTGGGTCTCTAGACCAGTGCTTTAGCGTGGCAGGAAAATCGAAAGTGGAAACGGAAAGTGTTAGGCAAGCAAAGGCGGAGCCATGGGCCGTTCCGAGACGAGGTTCTTTCAGGAACTGGCCTTGTACGCTGCAAGCGCCGCTCTGAGCTGCTTGGTGTTATTCGTTGGCCTCCGTCAACTAGACCCAAATCGCGCTGCCAGCAAGAAAGCCCAGGAACATAAGAAAGAGATCTCGAGGCGCTTGGGTCGTCCACTTATCCAGACCAATCCCTACGAGGTACGCCACCTCCCTCTTTCACCGCCTTTCTCCTGGCTTACAAAGTTTGGAATTTTGCTTCTTTTTCTTTGTTCGGAAATCAATTCCGCGAATTAGGGTTCGGCCCATATCTTGCTATTTCTTATGCGTGTTTCCCCTCGGCACACAAGAAGTGTGGAAATATTTTTTCTTTCTTGCTAGAAACATCGCAAACCGGAAAAATACAAGGTTCTTAGTGTGTTCTTTATCATAGTTCACAATTTGGGTTTTTCCAGCAATCATGTTGTGAATTAGGTTACAAATTCGATTTGTGAAAAGAAATAGAAGGATAACCGTATCTTATAGAGACGGTTAGGACCTTCTTACTGGCTTTGTAATAAATTAGCTCATCAGAGAAGTAATATCGCTTGAGACCTCTATCAACCGGTAATATTTGGTTAAATACCACTGCGACGAATAAAACAAAAATGTTATGCTTGAGCATCAAAATCATAATTTATAGAAGCAACTAATTATTGGACCTGAGGGGAGTGAAAAGTATTCAGTTTTAATCTAATAGCGACTTTCATTGGAATTGAAAATGCTTTATCAAATTTTGAATAAAAATCAAGAATACATCATGGATATGCACTTCTGAAAATTAAGAGTATGAAGGATAATACTGTGCTGTAGCCTGTAGTTTTTTCTAAGTTTTATGTTTCAAATATTCTATAATTTATTTCCACATGTCAAACAGGTTGAAAAGAAAAGACAAGTTAAAAGTGGCTCTTGTTAACTCTTTTCAAGTTCTAGGGCACCGAATTTATGTTCCACTTTTCCTTTTATTTATTATCTAGGGTGGAAGTATATATATATAAAACTTTTTTGATGGTTTGGTGGAAGAAAACGATTGGTACAATGTTCTATTTATCGATACTTTTTTTATTGTTAATTCGATTTATGGATAATGCTAATAAATAAAACCAAACGATTTTTTATTGATTACCTAATGGCTAGTATAGTGCTTTCGAACTGCATGGGAAAAGATATTGCATTGTACTGTATGCATATCAAAATGGGGTACATATACAAATGCCATCATTCTTCATTAAGAAAAGAAAAAAAGAAAAAATGTATAAAAGAGGATGCTACCTAATTCTGGTCCCAATTACTTGGGGTAGGGGTGGACCAGATACAGAACTAACCTTCGGAATCTTTTACATGAAGTGGCTACTCACAAACTGAAACCTGTGTTTGCACACTTGCCCAAAAAGTATATGCATATCATAAAATGAGAATGTATAGGAGCAATTGATTTGTTGATACTGCAGATTATAATCTTTACCTTCTCTGCAGAGATTGGGGAACAGAGCTTGAAAGACTATATGATTGAGATTTTTTGTTTATCAGTGATTATATGATTGAGTTTAATTGGAGACAACTATGTGTGTTCCAAATAGTTGATAGAAGTATTTCCAATTTCTAAACAAGTGAAAGAAAAAGGAAAATGAGATATTGTTATTGCCTTTTCTATTCTATTCTAGAAACTCTGAAACCACTTGTTTTCTTGATGGAGTATGAACTAAAATTCTAATCTCTTCATTGGTATGAACGTTAAAGTAATTATTTTAATGCATTATTAAGGAATCTTTGAAATATATTAAAGAAAATGAGTTCTTGTTATCTAGTAGGATACCTTGAAACCTGACAAGATAGGTTGTACGTTGTACAGATTAATAAAAGCAATGCCAAATTTTACATGATGATTTTCTATCAATTGTCATGTAGGTACTCGGAAAGTCATTATTCTAGAAAGTATTAGCAAGTAGTGATGCTTCATTGACAAAAGTCTCTTTGATACTGTTATTAATAGAAATATAGAATAAAGGCACTTCATTGAACAAAGAGAACATTTATTGCTAATATTTGTCTATGGAGCTGTATTTTTATCAAAGTTGAACAAATTATTTAAAAAGAAAAGTAAATGAAACTGAAGGCATTTATCTTCGACCAAAGTTATTAAACTGACTTGCATGTGTTAGGTTTGCTATCCTAGGTTATTGCTCTGATTTGAGTTGTAACATGGAAAAATCAAAATAGGCTTTCCTTGTTTGTTTTACTTGAATTATTTCTAATGTCTTACAGGATGTAATAGCATGTGATGTTATAAATCCTGATCATATTGATGTGGAGTTTGATTCTATTGGGGGCTTAGAAGATATCAAAAAGTCACTCTTTGAACTGGTGATTCTTCCACTACGGAGACCTGATTTATTTTCTGGGAAGCTTCTCAGGCCACAGAAAGGGGTATTACTATATGGGCCACCTGGAACAGGAAAGACAATGCTTGCTAAGGCCATAGCAAAGGAATCTGGAGCTGTATTTATTAATGTGCGAATATCAAATTTAATGAGCAAATGGTTTGGGGATGCACAAAAGCTTGGTAAGTTTGGGTTATCTTTTAAATTGTTAAGGTGACAGGCATAAGTTATCTTCATTACTTGATATGATTAGATGATGTGCTCTGTTTTTTTTTTTTTGAATTTTACATTTTTACTGAAAATTATGATTCCTTAACCCTTGTTTAGATTTTGATGTTGAGTGAGCATTACCTTAATTGCTAGTAGATCTGGGGGTCCAATTCGTTTTTAATCATCAACAGAATATACTGTATTCAATGGCAATGGGAACCATTCTATCCAAAAGAAAAAAAAGTAAGAGCAATTACAAATAGCTCACAGCTGGCAGGACATACATTTTCTGTTTACAAATTTACACTTCATTCTCAGGCCCAGGCATTCCCCAGAGAAGACCTTTTCTTTTCTTTTTTTTTGAGAAAAGGGTGGCTTTCATTCATAAAAGGGTAAGATACACAAAAGGTATGGGATCTACAAAAATAATCTGCAAAGGCATTGAATTGGCAGTATACAATTTTTATTGAGCAAAATTATGAATTTATTGAAGGAGAAGAGGTACATCAAGAATCTAAACAAAGAAAACAGAAATTACATAGGCAGAAACCTGTCACTAAACAAGAAATCTCTATGAGCATCAGATTTAGCTAGACCATCATCAAGAGAGTTTTGTTCCCTGGGGATCCAACTCAACTTTACATTCATTGAGCCCAATATGTTTCTAGCTTCTGCCAGAAAATGCGCCAATATCCAAGGACCTCCATCTTTTTCTTTAGCCATCTTATAGTATTGGTGGAATCACCCTCAATGGCTAGACATGAAATGCCTAACAATTTTGCAAAACAAAGCCCCAAGGGGGCTGCCAAAATTTCTATCCTCCCCAGGCTTAGCTAGGGAATCAGCCAAAACATTTAATTCCCTCAGAATCCACCTAAAAGAGACTTCAATCTCAGCAGAGATCTCCCTGCTTTCATTCAGAAAATGAACAAATCTCCATGGGCTGCTCCCCAACCTAGAAGCCCAACCAATAACTTTCTTAGAGGACTGCGTTCAGATATCCTTTGCTGCCCTAAGACCTTCAAAGTAGACTTTACCTGATTACCCTTCTTGACTATCAGCCAGGCCATAGGCAGTTCTAGGGGTCCACCTGAATGAGCAGTCATGCTACTGCCTATTGCTTTAGCTTCTCTAATAGTAAATTGGAAATTCCAAGAAATCTCTTCTTCTGCAAACCACCAAAGGGTGACAACTTGGCAATCCCCTTCTACAATCAGATTTGTCCAATTGTGCAATGCTGCCAAGGCACCGGCCTTAAACCTTGAATTACAGCCGTAAGTTCACCCTCAATGAATTACCATACCTGGCTAAAAAACTAATTATCGTACTTGCTGCCCCCAAAAAGCTAAGTAGGATTTTGCCTCTATCATGTCTTAATGCCCCTACTATTCCAGATTCAGCTGTATTGCCTAAACTGCAACAATCAGAGTTTAGTTTTAATGTGCCCAATTCAAGAGGGCTCTTGTCCTGTTGTCCACTATTATTGGTTGATTCCTAATGGAGGAGCCCACCACTATTTCCAACCTCTCAATAAGCCATCCATTGTGACTCCCTTGAGTTCTTCTCTTACAAACACTCAATATGAGCTATTCTCAACTTGATAGTTTCCATTAGTGATTCTGCATCTTATTCTTTGTTCATAAATGGTCTAGCATTTCTCTGACCCCGAATACTCCATAGAGTAGCAGTCCTTGTGTAGTGCCATAAAATCCTCGTTCTTTTTGTGTGGCAGCTTACCAGGTTTGCCATGAAGAGATCCATGATGCTTGGTGGTGCTGTCCCAGAGGTCCCAAAGAGAGATAAAAAGTGATTCCATACCTGAGATGTGAATAGGTAAAGTATTTTATATTTTATTGATATCATGTAGCAAAAAGGATACATTAGATAACCTGGGATGCATATTCACAGAAGTCCCTTGAACAAGCCATCAATTTGACCTGTATTTGGGATCCACAATGTAGTTGATCCTAATTTTAAACGCAACTATGGATCAATATCCATGTCTCAAGTAAAGTGTTGGTTATGTACTTGCGACCTATAGGGGTAGGGGACTCACTAAAGGCCGAACTGATGGCGCTGCTAGCTAAGCAATCAAGCTTCAGAAATTTGGAAGTTGAAGGGGATTCAAAATTGGTTATTTCTTGGACCACTTCTAGATGTAATGTGCCTTTGACTTATGGACATGCTTTAAGTGAGATAGAAAGCCTGACAAAGGACCTGAATGCCTCTTTTACCTGGACAAGGACTGCAAATGGATGACTGACACTTGAGTTAAGTAGGGGATCTATAGGCAGCAATTGTTTTGAGCTTTATTGTGATTTTGTTCTTGGACGTTATTGTTTCAGGTTTCTGTATTCTTTGGTGGCTGGTTACCGATTCTACTGTAACTTGTTTTTTCACTTATTAATATAATAAATCTTTTCTTGCTAATAAAAAAAATCCATGTCCAAGACCAAATCAGAATCATCATCATAATCCAAGCCTTATCCCAAATATATGGGGTCAGCTACAGGAATCCTGTTCTACTATTCTGTTCTGTTTAATGCCAAAATCTAGACTCAAATTGCATAACTGAACTACGTCCATGATCCTTGTATTATTAGCTAATTGCTCCACCTTGCCTCCTTGATAATTTATATAGCTATAGTAGAATTTATGAACTTTGATATGGGCATTCTTGGTGTTGGTTTCATGGAAAAAGGTAAGTTATTGGTTAAGAATGTATTTAGGCTTAGGAAATGGAAAAGTGTTAGTGTTGTGTGCAAGTCTGAAGTGTTTTCAGTTTTATCATTCCATAAACTCTTTCAAGGATGTGTTGTCTAGAATTGGTACGATTTGGTTTTTAGTTACACTTAGAAGATGAGATCTAAGATTCTAGTTATAGGTTATGTGATGTAGACAACCATCCCGTATTTCAGTATTTCTTTTGAATTCTCTATTCCATTAACTTAACTGTTTTGATATTTTCTTTCCTTCAACCACTGTTTTCCATACCCCCTTCTGACATTTTCTTATCATTAACTACAAGAGTATAATAGTAAAGAGGAAAAATCAGAATGTACAAACTCTAATGTTCTCAAAAATGAGAGGGAAAGTGCTACCCAATGCTCCAACCAGTGATGGGGTGTTGCATGTATGTGACTATGAGGGGCAAGTCATTATTCAAATATTATAAAAATCATCATTCATAAAAAAAATATTATAAAAATCATTGCCTAAGCCAGCAGCATAGAACCATAATACAAATCCCTCCTACTCACCCCTCCACCTTGAAAATCTACAATTTAATTGGCAAAACTTGGAACCTAATAGAATTAAATGCAGTGTTTTAAAAGGCATGGGAGGTGTATGCCTGGAGGCGTGCCTCCAGGAGAGGTGCCCTCAAAACGCCCTGAGATGTATGCCAGGGGCATTGATACCTCTGGTGCAAGAGGCATATGCTTCATACATCTTTTTCATGAAGCATGCTAGAGGTGTACACCTCATGTGCCTCACACACACTTCATACAAAAAAACAGAAAAAAAAAAAAGAAAACAAGAAAAGAAAGGAAAGGAAAGGAAAAGAAAGGGAAGGGAAAGAAAGAAAAAGGAAGGGAAGGAAAGAGAAGGGGAAAGATTTTTATTAAAAATAGAGAAAAATGAGATCCTCCTTTATCTTCTTCCTCCTCCTCCCCCTCCTCCTCCTTCCTTATCTCCTTCCTCTTTAAGGAGGCTTACGCCTCTTATGTTCTGAACTACGTCTCACGCCTCCAGGCAGTGGAATGCCTCGCATCATGCCTTTGCATTTTAAAACTTTGATTAAAGGCTAAGTTTTTGTCAACAAAGTTTTTTCTTTCTTTTTTTTTGGAAATACGTAAAGTAACTGTTACGATTCATTTGTCCCATATTAGTAGTATGGGATGCTAATGTGAGGTATTCCACATTGGTAGTTTGGGATGCTGTTGTGGGATATATATGTGCTTGGGTTCCCTCCCTCTAACAGCTAGCTTTTAGGGGTGTTCTCCTAGGCACATAACAGTAACTTTTATTAAAAAAACAGGTAGAGTACAACAGGCCCCCAAGGAAAATACTCTGCTTGTCAACAAATATCTCGCTTCTCTGAAGATTAACACTTATTCAAGGACTGATAATATAAGAATCTCCTCAAGATGATTCTCTCAAAGATAGAATGGAATCCTAATCCTCTGGTGGGGTGATGGAAACTTCATCCTCAGTGAATGCGTCATACCAGAGGTCCCAAGTAAGCAAGTAATGCCATGCCTCTGCTGTACACAGGACTCCTCAAGCACCATAAAGGCCCAGGTTTCTCAAAGAGATCCATCAAAATTTTAGTATCTACAGATGGAATCATGGAAGGTCCCATTCAGATTAGTCACTGTCCTAAAGATACATTAGAAGGCAATGGCTGCTAGTCTCCACAAGAATTCATTGATATGCTTCTAAAATCCTCCAATTCCTGAACCAAGTGAGTGGATACCAACTTGACACTTGCTCATAGGCCATAAAAGAGCCATTATACAATGTGGGTCCTAGCTATCTGGGATCTTGAGAGGAGTGAACTGTATACAGAGTTACAGACCTAACCTTTGGCATTTTTCACATATAGTGGCTGCTCTCAGAACTGTCTTCACATTCTTGTTAGCTCGATATTTTACCATTTCCACCAAGCAGTGATCCCTAGGTTGTACCGTTGTCACTTCCTCATGGGATCACTATTTATTTTGGAAGATTCTATTCTTCCTTCCAAGACTCCCCCGGCCAAACTGATGCTGCCACATTATATTTGTTTTTGTTGCATCAGCTTGTTATTGGAGTTGTTCTCCTGCATCAGTTTTTGTAGCTGTTATTATTCATTTGTTTATACTTTATACTACATCCTTGCTGTTTTTTTTCTTATTTAAGCAACAAAATATTACTGGCATTATTGCAAACAATATTTTAGTTTTTAAAACCTGAGTAAAACTGACAAAATGGGGATACAAAGGTCCTGTTCTAGATTAACCTGCTCAGGTATTCAAGCTTTGGTATAGGTTAGTTGTTGATAGAGAGGCAACAATACATTATACATGCCACTCAAAAAGTGACAAAGTTGGGCTTTAAACTTCTAAAGCAGTCTGGAGAGTAAGGTTTTAAGGAGGATGGAAATACCAGGAGTGGACTACTGAGTAGGAAAGAGGGGATGACAATGATATAAATGTGTATTAGCCTATTAGGGTTCTGGACTTTAGACAGAGTAGAGGAAGAAAGAATGAATGGAAATGAGAAAGATGTGAATGGTTTTCTCATCTATCCACAAAACCATAACTAGATTATAAAAGGTATGGATGGTTTTGTATTTGCCATGTATGACAACAAATAATACAAGATGAAAATTGTAATTCTAGAATACCTTTATTGAAAAAATAGAACAACTGTTTATATGTGAAAACATTTTTATTTTACAAAAATTTAATGAAATAATATGTATTAGAATGATATAATTTTTAATAATGTGTTTATAGATATTCATGTATTATGTTGAGACACTTGGAGTAATATAATTTTGTATTAATTTGTTGTGGTATGTGGCCAAATAGAATCATGGGAGAATTCTTGAATATTTTCTTGCAAGTTATATATGTTTTTTGTCAGAATACTAACATCTAGGCAAAATTTTGCAGTGGCAGCTGTGTTTTCCTTGGCTTATAAGCTCCAGCCTGCTATCATATTCATTGATGAGGTTGATAGTTTTTTGGGGCAGCGTAGAACTACAGACCATGAAGCAATGACTAACATGAAAACTGAGTTCATGTCTTTGTGGGATGGTTTTACCACAGATCGTGAGTATCACTCAAAAGTATTTTTATTCTGTTGTTTCTGTATGTGTTTAGTTTTTTTTTTGATAAATACCACATATGCTTAGAATTGAGCTATCCTTTTTCCTATACTCTTTAAATCAAATTCCAAGTTAGATATTTTTAGAGTTTCTGGTCAAAGAATGTCATTGTTCATTAATTAAAAGCCATGAAATTGGTTTGCTGAAAGAAATAAAATGCTAGTTTAGTTACTCCAGTGATTAAATACTTGAAGATGTTAAAACTAGTGAACAATGGTGTGTAGCTTTGTAGAAGGTAATTTGTTGCCTCATTTCTGAGCCCAGGGGAACAAAGGCAAACTAAACTGGTTTCATGGTATCTGGGACCTGCATTTTTCACCTTTGTTGTTCTGTTTTCTGAAGCTGGAAATTTGCAGCAGTTGCATTATTTCTTCCAATGGAATTTTTGAGAATGATAAATTTACTGGACTTCTTTCAAAAAGTTCTGAGCATTACTGTCAGACTACCTGGTCAAATCCTCTCAAACTTTTGGGACCCATGTTGCTGAGTAAAGAAATTGCACTCCAACAAATGTAACATATTGTTCTTAAAATTTTGGTGTAAAATGTATTGCATCTTTCTTAGTGCTGAAATTACTGGAGCACATCTCTGGATAATGGTGATGATGATTTTCTATTGTTAATATAGAGAATGCTCGGGTAATGGTCCTGGCTGCAACTAACCGCCCATCGGAACTTGATGAAGCAATACTTCGGCGTCTTCCCCAGTCCTTCGAGATAGGCATACCTGACACAAATGAGAGAGTGAAGATACTGAAGGTGATTTTGAGGGGTGAGAGGGTAGAAGTGAATATTGATTATGACTACATAGCTAGCTTGTGCGAAGGGTATACTGGTTCAGATCTCTTTGAACTTTGCAAGCAAGCAGCTCTTTGCCCTATCAGGGACCGACTGCGTGAAGAGGCAAATGGCAATTTACCTCATGTCAGTACTTAGTACTCAACTCATGTTTGCATTCCGTTGTTTTCTTTTCCTGCTTATTTTCAGCAGAATATTATCTTTTTTATACACCAGATTGTTGACCAACTTGATGAAATTAAGAATTGCCCAGATATTCTATTAGATGGTAATAGCATGTACAAGGACTTAGAACCACAACTACTGCTTGCTTTGTTGTGAAATATGAATGTAAATCTTTTCTTTTAACTTCTCTTGTGTTGATTGACACGATGACACTTCATGGCTTCATGCCAGTCTTGTAACCTAATCTCAATTGTGCAGATTTGTTTCTGGGCAGTCAATGAATTCCCACTATTTGATGTGTTCTTTTTATTTCTTTTATCTGTTCTTGGCTATTACATGTATGGCCGATTTTCTTAACTTGGTGCCTACATTAGTTAATTTTTGCTGTTTGTTACTATTTTTTTACATCGTTTTTCTTAAAGATGATTCTATATTTTGGTGTCTTAGATTAAAAAAGAATCTATTGAATTTTGGAATCTGGTTTTAGATCAGCCTACAGGATGTCTTGGAACTTTCTTGAATTTGAAAACCGAGATATCTGTAAATTAAAAATCCATAGTTGGAAAATGAAATATGTTATTATTGTGAAGCTACTTATCCTGTTGTGATGGAGATGATCAAACATTTTATTCAATTCATTGGTCTATGTTGTTTGATACAGACTACGAGGCCACTGTCACAGTCAGATCTAGAGCATGTCCTAACTACATCTAGAAAGACAAGGACTGCTGCAAGTGAATACAGTGGGTTAAGCTCACAGTTGCCGGCATGGTCGAGACACATGGAGCAGGATGGATACCAGGTTCTGATTGAGAACCTTGCTAAACTTGTGATGTTCCTGAACCTTCAATCAAATGCACGTGACCTTTAGAAAGGATTCTCATCTGAAGGTAGTTCGTGATGATGCATAAATATTTTTTGAGAACTAAATGTCTTGGATGTTTTTTACTTTCAGGGATTGTAATCCTTTTCAAGCAGACTGTTCACACCATAGACTCGTACAAGCACTCAACGATCTCTCCATGTTTTATAAGCATTTAATTACTTTGATAAGCTGCCCTGATTTCAAACATTGCAGCTCCCCCCTCTTCTCCCTCGCCCTTTCTAAATTCATTTCCTGTAGCAGCTATCTGAGCTTAGAATCCAGCATTAATGACTATATTTACAGGTTCTTATTTTGTTTTTGTACAATTTGATGCACATGATAAATTCTCTTTCATAATTGTGTGTCTGCAGCTCTGCTAAATCACTTTTTATTGACACTCAATGGAAACCATGTTAACTAGTTCGTTCACAATTTTCTCTCATTTTAATGATTTATTGATTTTGGGGTCCCTTTGGTTTGGTGATCTATCGGTATAATGTGGGCGGGCCGGCATGACACAGTTTTGTTGTGCTGCCCACACTGTAGCAGGCCGGTCCAGCCCGATAGATTAGGGAAGGGGCCAGCACGGGCCCAGGCCCAGGCCCGTGGGTTGGGATGAACTTTTTTAACAAAGGAAATATATTTTATTGACCATGCCGGCCCGTGGGCCTCAAACCCCTGGCCCAGCCTGGCATGGGTATATGTGTGGCCGTGCCCACATCGTGCTGCGCTGTATCGGCCTATTATGGGCGTCCTGGTGTGTTTTACACCTATACGGTGACCCATGTATTTCATGTTTTCTCCTTTGAGTAATTCTAGTAGGTTGTAGCCATACGGATTGGGAAAAAAACCCGTATTGAAATATGGATCCGGTGTATCATGTGGGACCCCTCACTCCTGTATTTCTGAATGCTGATCTTGGTTTCAAACCCCGGACCTTGCACGATGTAACAGATCCACAGGTCAAACCTTCAGGGCACCATCTTCAAAGATGGACGTGCCGTATCTAAATATTATCGCATGTTTTGTTTGCTTGTTTTGGGTGGAGATGATCCGAAGTCCGAAGATATGATTGGAATGTTTAATATGCAAACAATTACATGAGCTCGTACGCCCAAGCCAACAATGTTTCTCATAATAATGTTACAGCCTTGGTACCCTGGAATTGGATCCTCAGAAGTCATAACTTGTTACATGTTCTATAATCAGAGATCCCTGACCTTTAGATGGTATTCACATGAGGGAGGGCTTACACTTAAAACTAGTACAATCAGCTAGCCTTCAACTATCATTGAAATCTGGGGGGGGTGTATGGTCAATCTCTTCTTCAAGTCTTCACCTCATGACTTTATTCCAGTGTTTTAAAAATCGACCTGGTAGGTTGCAGGTCACCCGTTCGACCATGCCATATCAGTATCTATGTGTATATATAAATACATATTTTATCAATATATAATGTATAATTATGTTTTAGATATGATATATGCATTATATTTAATCTATGTTTTTTAATTCAATTTTTAACTTTTATGTATAAAATATTAAAAATTATAATTTAAGGCCAAAAAGGGATTTCTTGCAGGTTGAGGGAGGGAGACTATCGAAGGAGAAGAATTAGGGTTAGGACATAATATGTATATTATTATATTTTTGATAATATATTATTAATTATTATATATATAATATTGTCGGGCTGGGCTTTTATGTGAAATCCCAAGCCCGACCTGAAATTGAGTCAGGCTTAGATAATAGGGCCCGGGCTGGGGCCCACAGGCCTAATAATACTATCCAAGCCCGACCGCAGCTGGGCCGGGCCGTCGGGCTACTCGGCCCATGAACAGATCTAAGCATGATATAATAAGGTTAGTATAGAAAACACTGTTCTCTAGCTCAGGATGGTGTGCCTAAACTAGCGCTCCATCAGAAGCAAAGCTGGATTTAAATATCTCAACTTGAAAGAAGCTGAGGTTGAACCTTTTAATCTAAATATAAAAAGAAAAGTTCAGTCAAAAGGTTGATCATATAAAATGAAGGAAATTGCAAATAAAATGATTGTAGAAAGCGAACATTAGTGAACGCAAAATGTAAAATAATCAAGTCCCGCCATCTATTAAGTCTTGCAACTGATTTTCTGAGCTAAAATTGGTTCAAACATGGTCACAGAACAATGGAACATAGTGCTCCGATCTTGCAGAATAAATTTGATCGTATAAAAGATTCTTTATCATTATCACTGTTATTTTTGGGGCAGGGTGACCGGTGACGGTAAGCAGAAAGAAGTTCTAGACTGCTAGTAATGTCTCAAAGTTCTCAGAAGTTCAGAGGATAGAGTTTCCTCCATTTGTGCCCCTGAATATTTTGTCATCCTCAGATCTTTTTTTTTTTTTTCTTTATGCCATTTCGCAACCTACATTTTCTTGTAAATTTAATCAAATCATTAAGCCTGGTAAGTAGAATTTAATCAATAACTACCACTTGGAGTAGTGAATAGCTTAATGGTCATTATAAGGATTATGTTTGGTTATGAGTCTAGTTCGGTTCAAATGAAAATGTCATTTTGATCCATATATTCATCAAAGCTCTAAGGGGGGTTTTGATTGGTCGTATCATACCCTTCATATCCTAAAACAATTTTTTTTTATTGATTTATATTTTTATTGGTTTGTATAGTTGAGAATAATCACGAAATCTATCAAAATACAATGAGATATTATATCATTGATGGAGTGTTTGGTAGATAAAACAAAAAACAAACCAAAAAATAAATTATGAAATGGGGCAAACCATAACCCCCTTTTTTGCTAACTGTTGGGTTGTGGGTAATTATCCTTTTAACCATTATATGTCTCACAACTACTTCAATCTCTCATTTCATGTGTATGGCTGACATGGGCTATGAGTTATTATTATTGGTTAAACAGCCCCTAACACACAATGATCAAGTGCAGTTAATCCGGATTCACATACAGCATGGTCTTACTCATTATCACTTGGAATAAAATACAATGTGTTTTTAATGGCAGTAAACGGCTTCTGTCATCACAGCAATGAAAGTAATTAAGGATAACCTAACTTCTCTTTTCCTCATTGGCAATATCATCATAATTTACATGGGCTCTATAATCACCTTCAATTATGTCATTTAGAATTTAGCATCTGGCGTGCATTTGCCATCGATAAATGACATAATTTAAGGGTAATTTGGCCCCATGATCTGTTGTCATCGTTGGTGAGGCGTAACATCAGCAGAAGCAGCCAAAGGACTAGCCCTCTCCCCATGTAAGACCAAACTTAAGCTCTGTGGCCATGGTGAAACTCTTTGTACATCCCGATAAGCCTGAAGGCAAGGAGTTCAGGATCCAAACCAAACGTGATCACATGGAGTTCTCCGTGGTATTCTCAGATGAGAAAGGACCAACGATAACCCAACCATTCATCCATTGGACTCGTTATCAAATGGCGTTCCAATGATTCAATTTGCTCGCTCTCACCGACAAAGTCATTACTGCCCTACCCTGTTCATCATTCATCGTTCAGCTGCTTGAAAAGTGAAAACCCAGGCAAGAAATAATGGCAAATTATTTATTTTCCTTTTCTAGCTACCAGTGTCCAGTGATAAAAAACGTAGAGAGTACAGTGAGAGCGCGTCCTTTGGAGTTCGGATCACCTCTCATTCAATCGTTCTTTAACTCAAGTTCACAGACAGAACGATAGAAATGCTAGTCCCTACAATTATTGGATTCCATGCCCCACATGAGTGTACAAGTACTTGTGATTGTAGGGAGTATACAAGGACGAGGAGAGGGTATTTACTTTTGGAATAAAAGTCGTCCGAATGTAAAACCAATTGCAAGATCATTTGGAATAATAACTGCTCCACACATGTAATAGAAAAAGATACAACAGAGAAAGAGTAGTTCAGACACAAGGACACAAGAAGGGATCGACCAACAAACCACCAAATTATGAATTATTTTGTTTTGTCTATTCCAGCCTCTCCTTTAACCACATTACCCACTACTACACCTAACAGATCCACCACAATCACCTGTCGATTCTGCTTTATTTCTCTCTCTAATCGAAAGCTGTTAACTACTTTCCTTTCATTATCAGGCACTGTAAATGAACTCCTACCATCATAGCCACCTCTTTTGTCCCATATTCTACTATATGCATAATTAGCATCTTTACAGGCCAAAAGGTAAAGTCCTCTCATGCACTGTAAATACACAGGAATCTCACTCCCTAATTCACTATGTTTGTTTGCTTATAAGCAAATGAGTAATTCTATATGTCAAGGGATGTAGAATTACACATCAGTTTCAGGAAGACAGAGTAGCAGCAGGAGTATCAAGCGGTACCTAAGAGGAATCAAATTCGTTGACATGGCAGCAGCATGTCATGCTCAAGAAGATGATATGTTTTCAAGGAGTCTACAGAAGAGATACCATGGGCTTCTAACAGTTAGGACAAGAGCCATTAGAGGTAAAGGTGCTTGGTACTGGTTTCACCTAGAGCCCATTCTTCTCCAAAACCAAACCACAGGAACTGCTAAAGCACTTAAACTGCGGTGTGGCCTTTGTAATGCCCTTTTCTCTGCTTCCAATCCTTCTAGAACCGCAACTGAGCATCTCAAACGGGGAACCTGTCCCAAATTCCGAAATCCTGAGACCAACTCTAGTGCCATTTTCCCCAAGTTCAGAAAGCACAGCCTGATGGCATTGCCAGAACCACCACCACCAATCAGCATGATACTTGCCCCTTCCTCCATTGACCCAATACTTTCTATTCCACCTAACAGGCCACAACTGACCCAAGCCCAAGTAGACACAGCTTTTCGTCTGCTTTCTGACTGGTTCTATGAGTCCTGTGGCTTTATCTCTTTCTCCACCCCTGACCACCCAAAGTTTAGGGCATTTCTTCACCATCTTGGCCTCCCTCAGGTTAATGCAAGATACATCTTTGGCAGAAATCTTGACACCAAGTATGCAGAGGCCAAGCTTGAATTTGAGGAGAAACTCCAGGATGCCATGTTTTTCCAGCTATCTACTAATGGCTGGAAGAAGGAATACCGGAGGAACAACTATGCTGATGAAAGCACTTCTGTGAATGTCACCTTGAATCTTCCAAACGGTAGCAGTCTCTTTCACAAAGTCCTGTTCATTGGAACCTGTAATCCTAGCTCAGATCACATTTTAGAATTAGTACAGTCAACAATCAAGGAAATTTCTGGTGGGGATATGTTCCGGTGTGCTGGAATCATTGCTGATATTGGTAATGTTAACTGCAAAGCTCTACAGGACTTAGAGTTATGCCACCACTGGATGGTTAACCTCACATGCCAATCAAAAGCATTCCACAAGCTTCTCAAAGACTTCTTCAAAAAGCTTCCTATCTTCATCTCTACTGCATCCTTTTGCATGAAGCTAGCCAACATTTTCAAATCCAACAACTTCACTGCAATAGATCTCTTTCTCCCTCACCATCAGAGTGGTTCCTCTGAAAGCATGTCTACTGCCCTTTCTGCCATTGAAAGTGTCTCCACGCTGTCTCACTTATTGAGTCAGACTTTCACTGAAGAAGCCATCGTCAAAGAGTCATTAAACAGGGAAATATTGGATGTAATTCAGGATTCAAAGTTTTGGGATGACCTAAACTCTGTAATTGTTCTAATAAAGCTAATAAAAACTGCAGTGCAGGAAATAGAAGAAGACAAACCACATTTAGGCCGCTACCTACCCCTATGGAAAGAACTGAAGAGTAGAATCAAGGACTGGTGCAACAGTTTCAACATTGAAGAAAAATCAGTCATGGATTTGGTACACAGAAGGTTCTCTAAAAACTACCATCAAGCCTGGGCAGCAAGTTATGTTCTAGACCCTCTTTATCTGGTCGAAGACAGCAGTGGGAGGTATCTACCACCATTCATGTTCCTTTCTTCTGAGCAAGAAAAAGATGTAGTCAAAATTATAACAAGGATGACACCAGAAGAGGATGCACACATTGCATTGATGGAGTTGATGAAATGGAGGACCCAGGGATTAAACACTGCTTATGCACAGGCAGTTCAGGCCAAAGAGAGAGATCCAGTTACTGGAAAGGTGAAAGTAGTGAACCCACATGGCAGTAGATTGGTGTGGGAGACTTGTCTTAGTGAATTCAATGTGTTAAAGAAGGTTGCAGTAAGGTTGATTTTTCTTCAGGCAACAACAGGGGTTTCAAATAGGACAGAATCAACTTTAAGCTGGTTTTGTTCCAAAAGTCGATCAAAGAACATAATTGGAAGGTCACAGAAGATGTTGTTTTTGTCTTCACGCAGGAGGCTGAAGAGAAAAGAGTTCAAAGATGAACAAGGAAATGATTCAGAAATGTTTGCATGCAAGAAGGAAGAGAGTCTGAGTGAATGATTAGCATGTAGACCAGTTGGTAAAAAATGATCTTTATTGCCAGGGTATTCATCAAGTTTCAAACAAGTGATTGCTTGCCATTTCTTTTTCCTCTTTATATCTTTTGGTCCAGGAATGAGCTTTCACTTAGAAACATAAAGCTGCAAACTTGAACCTTAACAACATCAAGAGGTTCTGTTTCAACTTGTTTTGCATCCTTCACATATGTACTTTCCAGTATGATACTGTGTCCTCATCTTTCCATCAATAGACATCTAAAAATGTATAATTACCAAAGGAAAAATGCAATGAGTGAATTTCCTTGCATTCAGAATACTGAATTTTGCAAATGATTTCAAATCCCACTTCTCCCTTTACTTTGAACTGTGCATTCGGCCAAAGCACAAATGCACGGTGAGTAATTTGGCATAATCAAAGAATTTTGGATTTCTCTGAACACAAGCTGAATACGCCATACTACCTCTATTGGAGATGCAATCAGAAAGTCAGAGATAGATCATATTTGAAGTATCTGATATGGACTCGTTTTTTTTAATGTTCAATTTAAATATTTACAAATTCTATCCTCATAAGGAAAAAATCAAATATAACCCCCAAAATGAAGATTCTTTACCTTGTATTGGTTCTGGTAACTGATTTTTTTATGGGAAAAGGACTCAATAACCTCATCTTAAAGCAGAAATCCAGAGCAACAGCAGAAAAAGCAAAGATAAAAAGATTCTCAGATACATAGACTGCACCATCAACAGCATGAGACAAGAAACTCCCAATATCTAATTCTAAAGGCGGTCCAGCTCCTAGTGCCCCTAAGCCTTCATTTTCAGATAAAAAGCAAATTAGTGAGATATCAATTATAAAACTGCAAACTCCTCTATAACTCAAACTAGGAACAAAAACATCACCTTTTTTTATCCATAACTAAAATATTTTATATGTAAAATAACAATTACGATACTTGAAATATGCACTTCGAATCAATAAATCATTAATACCTTTGACAAAGCTAAAAGCTGCAGAAGTCCCAGTCTTAAGTTGAATGTTGTCCAAATCTCTTCGTATAGTGTACCGAAATGTAACTCCAAACAAACTGCAACTAATGAAGGTGATTGCTAATGGAAGTATTAGCTGGGCACTGCTGCTAACCTGAGAAACGGAAATGGGAAGCCCTGCAATTGTTCCAACTATAGCAGATATAGATGCTGCTTTTATAGACTCCCACCTCTCTTCTCCTTTGTCAATTCCCTCATTTTTTTTGTCCTTAAAATTAACTGCAGACTCAAGGTCGTTCATGTTTATAGAAAGAGAGCGTTCAGCTTCTTCAACCATCGCTTTTGCTTCTAATATTTCCTTTTGGCATTCTGCAATCTTGAATAGGACCAAAAAGGAAACAAAGAAAATAAAAATGATAGAAGAAGAAGAAAATCAATATCTTAAGTACCCAGAAAAATAAAAATTAAAAAAAAAAAAAGAAGCAATAAACAGGCGGAATCGCCTAAGAATGAAGGAAAAAGTATGCAACACGTCATGATAGTTAGAGACTAATCTGCCCCTCAAAAGTGTTTTCAGCATTACAGCGATATTAGTTCTGTGTGCATTCTTGCTCCCTCAAATGTACAGTCTCCAGTTGAAAATACACTAAACTGATCACATTCTCAAAGTGATCGGGTATTCAGACTATCAATTCCTCCTTTTTGAACAATAATAACGGATTCGCCTTGGCTTAATTTAGAGTTTGGGGGCCAAGGTTTCATTCACAATGTTTGGATCTCAATTCAACGAAAGATTGAATTTCCCGCCATAATAATCTAACTAATGAAAAGACCAAGTAAAAGCAAAGTATAGAAGACCTCGGAAGCTCTACTCTCGAGTTGATTAACGTAATCTCTCAGTTGGGCAGCTTCTATCTGCTGTCTTTCGATCTCTGCAAGCTCCTTCCTTGCCATCTCAACTCTTTGGGATGCTTTGTCCAAATCATCTAACAAAGCCCTATTTTCCTCTCTGTTCAACAGTTCCTCTACTCGCTTATCGACCATTCCAGATAGAGCGTTTTTCAAATTCCCTTCTGTTCTCTCTTCCGAGCTGCATTTCACAAGCAGTATTCGAGACAATGAAGAAATTCTGTTGGAAATCCTAACGGAGGTTGGATAATAAATAGAACGTCGTTTTGCGAGAAGACTGTTAAGGCATGGAGAGCAGAACCAATTAGGATTGATTAGGGCTTCCATGGGTTTGGTACTTCGGTTGCAGAAATCGTGCAGGGAATGGATAACAGCGGCCACGTCCAGAGTTGAAGTTGAACGACCAGATGAGTTAAGTGCATTTGCTGCTTATCCGGAGTCCAAACGGCCACAGTGAATGAGGCTGAAATGGCTTCGAGGTTGTTTGCATGATCGTGTTTCGCCACGTGGAATATGCAACCCGGTTTCCCAGGCTCAAAAATGCGTCCATGTTTTCGGTTTGGTCTGGGGTGCGGGGTGGAGCAAGTGAGCAACAAGACCCACTGCATGGCTCTCGCCCCCTTGGCATTCATTTGGCACAACTGCACAAGTTTCGTGCAGGTGTCAAATCGGGCCGGGTTAGGTCGGCATGAGGCCAACCTTGATCCAATCCGAGGTTCTAAACCTCCAGCCCTACCCCTAACCCAACCGGAGTTTCAATCCGAGCTAATCAACCCTTTAACCCTAATCCAATTGACTTCGACGTTCTTTCATTGTCTTAAAATCTCTCAAATTTCCTTTCTTCGGAGAGTAAGGGTGGATAAGTTGGTGAATCCTATGAAAATTAAATAAATTTGCATTTATATCTAATATATATATTAAATGACGGTTTTTAGGCTACATCTCTTACCGTTTTTTCAAATTTAGACACATGGCATTTTATAAAAAATTGTTGTTAAAGCTCACAACCACTACCAATATCCAGACAAGTGTCCTTCTCATTTTTTAGAAAGCTAGATACATGACAATTTCTAAGAAATTCCTGCTAAAACTCACAACCCACTATCAGGCTACACTACAGCTCCCCACCATTTAGACACATGGCACTCTCATTTTTCTGGAAAACTAGACATGTGTCATTTTCTAAAAATTTGCTACTAAATCCCACAACCCACTACCACCATTTTCAATCCATTCCTAAAAAAATATAGAAAATGCAAAAGGGTTTATCCACAACTACTTCTGCCTATATTATATCAATCTCACTTAATCATTAACCCTCTAAGTATCGTAACAAAAGAAAATTATCCATATTCTAATAATTATTGAAAAGCTATTTTTTTTTTAATTTTAATAATTATTTATAATATTAATAAATATAAATTTAACACTATTGCTTCCATAATATAAATTTAATATTATTGATTCCCCGTACTTAATACGGGGTCATTCACTAGTTTTAATATTAATGGGTTCCATAAAAAATAATTTTTTTAAGCATAGAACTTTTTTGAGATTTGGATAAACCACTTACCCATCTATACTGAAAATTAATAATATATGATAGGATTATTCCTTCAATAATATTACTTTTTTTTTATAAAATAATCATTATTGTACAATTTTACTTGGAGAATAAATGACTTACTGCTACAACCGTAATACATTTTTTGGTAATTAGGGAAATATACAAAGGGAAAACCAGAGAACAAAACATCTATTCAAGTCTTGGGCAACAACATCTTGAATCCGCTGAGGGCAGTTCAAAACATGGATGCCAAAATCTTTTTAAACCTTTCATGGCCAACGCATGGAGCACAAAAGTTAATACTTCTATTTACAAACTTAAAGTTAATGAACATCCTAGCACAAAAACAGAGCATCCCATGCCAAAGTCACATTGTTGCTTCTAATTGTTTTGATGAGATTTAGGGCCCTTTTGTGTTTTGGATTTAGAGGTGGAGGGAAAGTTGGTCAATGGAATTTTGGTTCTATTGACCAAAGATACCTATATTTTTTTCCAATATTTATGTAGGGTCCACAAAAAATTATTTTCCTCTCCCATATGTAAATTGCCAACATTTGAATGAGACAAAATCATCCCTTTAACTTTTAATGATGGCTTTTTTATGACTAAAACAATCATTTTGAGAAATAAAAGAAATGTACTTATTTATTTATTGAGAAATACTTGTCCAAATAAATAACTTCCCGAAAAGAGAAACGGAACCTTAAATAATTAAGTTTCAACCATCACTTGATTCACCTGTCGTTTGTTTGGCATTGATGTCGTTGCTCTAGAAAACGGTGACACATAAAAACGATGCTCTAGGAAACGTCAATATGTTTGGAACCGTTTTTCTATAAAAAATGGTTCTCCAAGCCATGTCTTGGAAATCGAGAAGGCGTGGTTTGGAACAACGCCGAATTTGACGTTTTCTCATATTGGAGCTCATTACTACCAATGAGGACATGATGTGGCAGTGACATGGACTTCCTATAATGGGTACCAGTGTTGAAAACATATATAGAGAACTGGTACCAAATAGAAGGTGTTGTTGCTCCAGGAAACGTCCTACCTAACAACAACGTTTCCAAAAAAAAAAAAGACATCGTTTTCTCAGAAAATGGTGTTGTATCTACAACATCGATGCCAAACAGAGACAAGACTGCACCAACTCCAGGCCCTTCATCAAACAGAGACAAGACTACGCCTTTCCCAAAATGTGCAGCAGCAACAGCTCCTCTGTGATTAGGGGTGAACATTATTCAATTAAAACTGAATAACTGAACCAAAAATTTCAGTTTCGATTTTTCGGTTTGGCTTTTCAGTTTTTGGTTAAATCAGTTCGGTTTTTCTAGTTTTTGGCTATTTCAATTTTTGGTTTCGGTTTTTGAAATTAGAATTTTGGTTAACCAAATTAATCAAACTTTTTATTATTATATGTAACATATAATATATAATATGTAACATATAATATATAATATATAATATATAATATATAATATATTGAAATTTGATTTCATAATATATAATATTATAATAGAGTATATATTATTAAAATTTGGTTTTAACTGAAATAACTGAAAACCGAACCAAAAATTTTGGTTTCAATTATTTCGGTTTTTTTTAAATGTCGGTTTAGGTTTCGGTTTTTATTTTTTTTTAATTCGGTTTTTAAAATTTCGATTTATTCGGTTCGGTTTTTAACCGAATAAACCGGATGCTCACCCCTATCTATGATATTGAACTATAACTCCAAAGCCCATGTTTCCAACTTTCAGTTGTTAATTTTTAACCACCCAAGCAGGGGAGGTTGTTAAGAAAGGTTTGATCTTCTTTGCTTAATTATTGGGTAAGAATACTGCCATACTATGATATGGATTCCGTTCATTCACTAAACGTTTGTACTTGATTTATTTGCAAAATCGAGAAAATTAATAATGAAATCATTTATTGATATAACTAGGCACCATTAGGCACCACATCATCATTACAGTGAATAAATTAATGTTTAATCGTTGGGGGAAGCATTAAAATTAAGTTTTGCCCAGTGGTAGGCATTCACATAAATCCAGGCCACCTTTTGTGAGTCTCTATGCATACGAATCAGCATGATGAGCTAAATGCAGAAGTGGTGCCTATGTGGTAGCATTTATTGAAAAAATGTCTATAGTTACAAACACCGCCTAAGTAAGCAGAAAGGCAAAGAATTTCCTCTTCTATCACCCATCTAATTAACATGAGTAATATGATAGTTTTACTCTCGTGGTTAACACCGTTTAACATAAATAATTTCAAGGGGTATTTGAAAGTTTGAAACTTTAGTTCTTTGTAGTTAAGCGGCTTTTCGAGTTTACTCTTTTTTTAGGGTAAACTATGTATATGTTTGGCATCGATGCTGCAGATGTAGTAGAAAACGGTGCCTTTATTTTTGTTTGGAATTGTTGCTACCAGGTAGGACGTTACCTGGAACAATAACAATTTTTTCTGTTTGGTACCAATGCTCCAGGAAACGTTTTCAGCACTGGTACTCATTATCCAGTGCCACATCACTACCCTGTTGACAGCAATGAGCTGTAGCTCCAGGAAACGCCAAATTTAGCGTTGCTTAAAGCCATGGCTTCTCGATTTCTGAGGCGTGGCTTGGAGCACCAATTTTTATGAAAAAAGGGTTCCAAACAAATGTCCATTTCTTGGAGCATCGTTTTTTCCAATGTGGCACTGATGTGGTGTCGTTGCTCTAGGAAACGACAACAATGCCAAACAGATGCTATGAAAATCTCCCTTCGATTTTTTTGACAATCATATAAATCAGTATTTTCAAATTGCCTTCGACCTAGACAGTTAGACTATCTGGCCCGAAAACCATCCAAGCAACTCCGATTTCATTTTACTATCAACCTGATCCTTGACCAAAAACCGTTGATAAACAGCTCAACCAAATAAACAGCTCAAATCATATAAATTAGAGGCTAGAGCTACCTAGAGATAAGCAGTTCACATGATTCTAGAGATAAACAGCTCAACCAAATAACTTTTTAGGAATTTTTTGTTAAATGAGTTTACAATGCTGAGCTGGCACCGCTCCTCTCAAAAGCTACATCGATATCAAACACCATCTAAATTAGAGGCTAAGCTACCTTTTCTCTACTCGGGCAACCCCCTTGGCCTATCCAAAGGCCAACAAGCCAACAACCACGTCAGTCCCCTCAAATCATATAAGATTCAAAATAAAACCTAATTTTCTCAAATTTTATTATTTATTTGTTTTCCTTGAATAAAGGAAATATTAGAAATGCGCCATAAACAAACTCCTCAAAAAGACAAAATGGTGGATTTCAATTTAGCAAATTAGAAACTGTCAAAATTTAGCAAATTAGAAGCCCTAACGGTTTGAGTTCAGAAATAAAGCCCAAAGAAAACAGCTCGATAAACCTTTAAATGTTCTTGTTAGCTTATCTAAACCGATCCTGATATTGAATTTTCAAAAGCAGCAGCTAAAACTTTTCAGCAGCAAGATGAAATTCAACCATATTTTCAGATGACATTCTGGAAAATCATTAAAGATTTACGAATCAAACTATTACTAAGAACAAAGGGTTTTGTTTTTTAACAGGAAAGAAGCGACGACTGACCTGAATATAAAAATTAACGCTTTAGATATCTCATTCTTGAAGCATGTTAGATCTTGTTTAGTGTTGAACAATGTTGAAATTAAATGCAATAGCTTAAGATTTAATCTGGTTATTTGAACTCTTTAGAGAGTTGATGGCTTGTGAACTGTTGGTTGCCACAGATAAAATTGGACAAGACAATGGAACACTATTAGACCTATTCATGGGCTGGGTAGTCCAATGATGGCCTGGCCCGTTATTTTTGGGCTTGGTTTAGACTTTCTCAAATAAGTCTAGTTCGGCCTGAGTCCGATCCAATACTATTATATATAATAAAAAAGTATTTACGTTATATATAATATATATTTGTTTTTTAAATTATTAATAAATACTAATTTACTTTTAGAAAATACAAATTAGCTTATTGATTTATTAAATTATTACTAAATTAATATAATATTAATTTATAAAAAGTATATTAAAAATAAGACATTTTGTGTACAGATCGAACTTCAGGCTTTGGGTTTTATATAAGGGTCGGGATCAGGTTCAAGATCTAAGCCTGATGGTTGGGCCAGACTCGGGCTCGGGCTTGCACATTTTTTGTTGATAAAGAGGCAAAGCCCGGCCCAATCCATAAACAACTCTAAACATTACCTAGGTCTTATTGACACATCCAATAACTTTTTTATTTAAAGAATTGAAATAAATTTTCTTTTTTAGTATTTTAGTAAATGTACATACAAAGGGGTGGTAAAGTGATATTTTGAAAAGAATAATATATTATATCAACCTTTTCTGTTTAGAAAGTCAAATGGAAAAGTGTATATTTTCTCAAAATTATTGGAGAGGTTTTTATTAAGATAAAAAACTAAGAGAGGTTTATATGATTCTTAGAAAATCTAGAGAAAGGTTTTATATTTTATCCCTCTTTATTATTAACAGAGTAAGTTTCTTAAACTATATCTAAAGTTTAGAAAATTGACTAATTCTATTATTGTTATTTCAACATTATCTCACAATTGTCTAAAACCTCTCTATCATTAACTTTTCGTCATATTCGATCACATGTGATATCACGTGATCGATTTTCTTTTAAATTTCCAAAAATACACTTTGAAATCATTGAGGCAGCTTGGCGGCGGCTCTTCTCTCTCTCGTCCGATACAGAGTAGAACAAATTCGTTGAGCGGCTTGGTCGTGACATTTTGTACATGGAGCTTCTTCACTACTACAACCCACCCATCAAACCATCGGATCTAGTCTATACCGGAACCGTACAAATTGGCAACAAGGGTGTTTCTACTCCGGCAAATGGAAAAAACTAATTTTATTCCCAGTGTTTTACGTCCTCCCAAGAAAACATAATTTTCTTCCTTCGATATCCACCAAATCTAGCAAAGCTTTCTCTATCTTTATAGGCATTTCAGCTTCGAGAATCTAACCGGTCTGACCTGCAAATGTCGGTGATCTCCCATACCTGAAGACTCTCGACTTCAATGACATCATCAAACCTCGGAATACTTTGCATATGAAACACTGGCCTCTCATCGAAATAGATGGTGGGTAGTGGTAAAAAGAAGGATAAAACGATGGAGGAGAGAGGGAAGATGAAAGATAGGAGAATATAGAGAGGAGGAGGAAAGAAGAGGGGAGAATGGTTGGGTGATCCTACCGCTGGGTGGAGTTACAGGGAAGTGAATTATGCAAAATGGAGAGAGAGAGAGATTGGAGTTGAGAGGGGGTTTTCGCCGTTGTCGCCCCTATTTGGTTCGCTTGTTCTCTACTTCTTCCAATAGAGTTTCAATCCAACCCCCACTATGCTCGAATCGCGGGACTTGCAGTGCAAGAGCATCCCTCCCACCATTCCTAGCATGGCGGCAACCGCCTTAGGGACTTTTGTGCTCGAATTTGCAAAAGATACTTGGAAGAAAATGTCAGTTGGGTATCTAAGTCAGTCCTTTGGCCATCGGTGATCATGGAACCTTTAATGGAATCACCATTTGAGATTTCCTGTTTCCTTCAAGCCAGCCAGTCTGCTGTTTGGGGCGAACTTGGATTATGTTTCCCGGTCTAGGTGCACGTAACGGGAGTACCTCGGCTTTGAACAACAATGAAGAAGGGAAGGGCATGGCAACCAGTTCCGCCATCGGTGGTGCCAATCGCCCAGAGGAGAAGATGATCATAAGCTATCAGGGCATGCCTCCGGCTAACCTCAATAAGCAAAGACGGCTCAGAGTGGAAATGGAATAGTTTTAGGGTACCCTTCTTTCGGAGTGGAAATAAAGCGGTGGGTTTTATTTTGAAAATTTGAAAAATAGTGAAGGGCAAATTTGACAATATTGAAACAGTAAAGATAGAGTTGCTCAATTTTCTAAATCTTACGGGTAGTTTAAGAAATTTGCCGATAGATGCTTCACACTTCTCCGTTTTTATTATGAAGTGGGAATGCCGAAGGTCCCTCTCTCCCCGTGTGCTTGCTAGTTTCGGTTTGTAGTTTGGAGCAGTTGCAAGTAGCCTCGAACAGAGGTTAAATGCAAGGCTTAGTTCCCCGACCTCGTTTTGCAGAATTTCTGAATCGTCCATGGCGGAAGATTTCCCGTCTCCGAGCCTCCTCAACGCCAGATTATGCAAACCAGTCTCGCGGCGTTCTCCCGCGCTTTTACTCCGAAGCTCTTCCGCCTAGCAAGGCAAGCTGTATACCTATTTGTTTTTATAAACTAATTTTAGTTGTGTAACTGTTGCCTAAGATAGAAAATGTTTCGTTCCCATGGTTACTTTGTTGTGATTTTCAGTGTCATTAATACTAGAGATTAATGGATTCGTAGTTCTCTTGTAACATCACATTTATATTTTTCTAAGATGTGTATTTATGTCTATAAGTAACATTAAATTGAGATTACTCTCTGAACTACTTGTGGCGTTTTGAGCTCTTTACACGATTGAAGTGCAACTGTGCTTCTGAATTCGAGTATAATTCTTTTTTTTTTTCTGAAAATTATTATATTGCTATCTTTTTCATCATTCTTTCCTTATTGCACATGTAAAAAACTGTAGGCAAATTTTTTATAATATATATTAGTGAGACCTAGGAGTTAGATTTACCATATAAGCTAGTTATGAAACAGTAATACTGGAAGTAAATGCTAAGGATTGGGTTTGAGATAGAGCTACTGACTCAGAAGCATGGAAGAGAATGAGGTCATAGTGTCATACAGAGGATATACCAAGGCATCCTTCATTGAACCCGAAATTCTAAAACTGATAGTATCAATGCAAAAGCTCTTGTTGCATCAGACATAACCGGCATGTTTAGGGAGACCACGTTTGAGTTAGATCAATTTCCAGAGCTAGTTCTAACTTGGTTATCCAAAGGAGGCATTGTTCTAGCACGATACAAGCTTTTTATGGGTAAATTCTTGCCCACACCTCTTCCCTCCGAATTTTCTTGTTTTAGTTGAGTGTATAACCAATGTTCTAGTGTTTTGATTCCATATCTTTGTGATTTCAAAATTTGGGCCCGTATGCTTAGAGGCTAAATCCTTTTCAATTGCATATCCACTTTGGATGCTTCTTAGTTTGAACTGTTAGAGTATGATTATTGTGCTTTATTTGTAAATCTCTTTGCAACTTCAAATTATAGATCCGTGAGTTTGTTGGAGTGCCCCTTGATGTAGTAGTAGGTTGAATACAAGTTAGGGGATTTTGACTATAATAGAAAGAAGAGGAGGGTTAGGGTTTGGGCTGTATACAAGATAACACTTGATAATTTGAGAATAGGTGCAGAATTAGAAATGAGTGGAGGTGATGAGAAAGATCTGGAGGCACAGGTGGCAGTGATTTTGATCAATGACATTGATGTCTATGTGGAAATGGAAGGACACTAATTGGAGGAGGATCTTTTAAGTGTGTAGAGGGAAGGTAAGGAAGGCTAGTTTGATGAGGCTACAAATTAAGATTCTATGTTGTGGCATCAATTTGGCTGGCAGGTTTAATCTGAAGAGGGTTTGTTATTAACTGAAGTTAGAGTGTTATACCTAGGAGTTATATTCACTAGAGTGTCCTAATAATTCAAGGGAAACGTCCAAACTACCCTGCTGCCTACAACTATGTAAATTACATAAAATAACATGGGACCACACTTATTAAACACTCCAATTCTTGCTATTGGTCAAGGGAAAAAAAAGAAGGGAGGACAAGCAATAAATTATAATAGAATATTTAATAGGGGGTGGATTTGCTAGTAGGGTCATTTAGCAAGGAATTCTAAATGACCTACCTATTGAGATGTTGACTACTTAGGCTCTGTTCGACTGTTCCAAACCTTCTTTGAAGCCAGGGTACATTATAGAGCTTTCTCAGCTCCCAGGGATTGATTAATTTTTTCTTTTTGTTTCTTTTTTTTCTGATTTCTTCGTTATAAGGCTGATTATTCTGAAGTTTTAACTGAAAGGTGACCTCATAAATGCTAAACTTTCAACCGAAACAGTGCAATGCATTCTTCCTAGTTCTGTTAGCTTACTTCTTTTTATGGTCCAGGTGCCATGCGGTCTTTCCAGTTCTAACAGAGTTGGTTCTCCAACTGCTTCAGATGCGAACATGATTCCTACTGTGTTAGATAAGAACTTCGCTGTCTGGACAGCGTGTGTGAAAACCTGAATGCTCTTTTGAGAGTCAGGAGTCAGCTGTTACTTGTACAGATGCGGTTATTAGATCAATCTTCTATGTGTCAAGATGGTCTAGGGAACAAGAAGGTCCCACATGTTAGTCTTTATCCCTATATGGGAGCCCATTTAGTATTGTTCATTAGGTTAAAGTGGGTTTGGTGTCTGTTGGGGGTGCCTAACTATTTCTTTCTATTTGTGCATCTGCTTCTCTCTAACTTCTGCAATTCTAAGAACCTAAGTCATTGTGAGTTTTAGTCCTTGTAAATAATGGACTAACTAAAATTCATTTGTTCTTTAATAAGGTCCTGCTCTTTGTGGTGCAACTCCATGCATTACCGGTGAGATGTTGTAGAATTTTCTTTCCCAATAATAGTGAGGCTACAGTCCTTGTGATTATTTTCAACTGAGATCCTCGGCTACCTTCTTTATCTTAATTATCTTTCTCCTTTACTCTCTCAACTCACTATGTCTGTTTGTGTGCTAGTCAAACTTTCAGGGTGGGGGAGGGTGAAGCAGAAACAAGCCCAGGCCAGAGCAAACAACATCCACTGCTTTACCAACTGAGCCAACCAACTTGAACCTTCTTGTGCCTAATTCTACATCAACCAAATCCTGATCCAAAAAGACATAATTTGTTGTTTCTTTTGGTAAGGCCAGCCTTTTAGTTCTAAAATGGCTGCCTGCATATCACATGCATATACTTTCTATCTGATGGTGGATTGATGGATGGAAAAGCTCTTATAGCTATTGGTGGATGGTAAAGCTCCACTTCAGTGTTAGTAAATGGCCTAACACTGAGTTTGGCTATTTTGAACGATGAATCAGAAAATTCAGTTAGCAAGAAAAGAATTTCCTTCAGTAAGAATGTTTCATTTCATTCTTGTCAACTTTATGCATTTGGGTCCTGATTGGACATGGTATATTTGATAATGTTTTTTTCATTTTTCTCTTAACATAATGTAATTATTTTTTATCGTTATTGATTATAAAATGATGCAGGGTAGTGTTGTTAGAGTACAAGGTGATGAGTTTTGGCATATGTCGAAGGTCTTACGGATGACCATCAGTGATAGGTAGGGTAATGTTTATCACTTTTGATTGGAGTAGGACATGATTATATTGATTCTTTAATATCTAGGAATGGTAATTGACCGTGGACTAGGTCATGTTTGTAACCTATTGATATGGGTTGAACAATTATTATTTTTTATTAAAAAAGGGTTTTTGTTAGTATGTAGATCCTTACTGTAGTCTGTATAGCATAAGGTACTTTTGAGAGGATTGTGAAGGGGATAGCATATATAAATATGATACTATGGAATGCAGATGAATATATTTCCTTATCCATGCTGCTACTTGAAATGGAGGGGTCAAAGAGCTGCAATATATTGGTGCTCGAGATTGGGTAGCCATATGTCATAAGCTAATGATACTTCAGGGTAGAGCTTCACATATATAATGACATTCTACCTCAATGTGTTTGGTGCATTCATGAAAAATATAATTGGATATTAATTTAGATTTGCACTTATGATTTATAAACAGAGTGGTGGAATGGAGGTGATTATAACCTTGAGGCCTTGGAGAAGCTCTTGAAGCTAGAGAATTTCTCATGTAGCAGAGGACATGGAACAATACATTGCTTTAGTGGACAACTTGGGAAATGGAATTCCTTTTTTATTGCATTTGCAGGATATAAGATCATCTAAGACCATGCATTAGCTAGAGATTAACCAATGGATGTTAGGGTAACCTGCCTAATCATCATCAATGTGAGTCCCTTGATCAGTACTATTCCATGCACTAGCTAGAGATTAATAGACTTCCCTCATGGACCCTTCATCTGCAGTCCCCTCATCAGCTTCTTTTTTCCAATGAGGATGCCTACCACGTCCCACTTAAGGTCTTTGGATGTGTTTGCTTTGTCTATGACATGAGTCCTTCTAGACTAAAATTTGATCTAAAGTCTATCAAGTGTGTCTTCTTGGTATATTCATCAATTTATAAGGGTTTCCGTTGCTATGATCCTTGTTCTAGTAAGGGACATGTGTCCAAAGATGTTACCTTTTTTGAGTTTACTCTCTTCTTTTCATATCGTTCTTCTCTTTAGGGGGAGAATGTTAATGAAGATTGAACTACTTTTTGCATGCCTATTCCCGTGTTGGTTGCAACTGATGCTCCTGGCCTCTCTTCTCCTCTTGTATGTGGTGGTAGTAGTGCTCCTCCTTTGCCCCCTCCAGAAACTCCTATTCCTCAATCTTGGCACTAGTGGTTTGTTAGATGAAAAAGGAGGATGACTCTAGAGACTAAATGTTCATTACAATCTGACTTCTTGGACCCAGGTAATTTTGAAACTGAACCTCTCCTTGTTTCTCATGCTTGTGTTGAACCTATTACTAAGCCTCCAAATTAGGGGTGGATTCGAGCCGAGCTGAGCCGAATACTACTAGGCTCGAGCTCGGCTCGAGCCAGAACCTTGAGCTCGAGCTCGGCTTGAGTCAAAAATTCATAAGCTCGAGCTCGATTTTGAGAAAAAATATTTTATAAAAATAAAAAATTATATATACAAATATTTTTTATTTGATATTTAAAAAACTAAGAATTATAATAACTAATATATATATAATTCGAGCCGGCTCGCGAGCCTCATGACTCATTTAATAATCGAGCCAATGAATTGGGCTCGAGCTCGGTTGAAATCAAGCCGAGCCGAGCTCGAGCAGCTCGTGGAAAGCTCGGCTTGTTGCCACCCCTACTCCTAATGTGAGTCCTGACCTTGACCTCCCTATTACAGTCCGCCAAGCAGAAAGGATATGTGTTAAATATCCCATCTCAAATGGACTCTTTGGTTCAAACTAAAGACTAAAATCTTTGTTATTTTCACTGATTTGTACAGTTATTCAAAGCAGTTTAAAGATTGAAAATCTGAACATTTTAGTCAAAGCAGTCTAAAAGCAAGGCCCCCACACGCTTCAACTACAGGCTCTTAAAGTAATTACAGTTTGTTAAAGATACATGATAAAACGATTTTACTTAATAAATTGTCCATAACATCTAAAGTTTCAAATCCTTTTGAGTGCTGGGGAGACAACCTTAGAAAATTCTGATTTTGTGAGGTCCTAGAAACTACTTTTCCTAGTTCTGTATCTACAATCTTATTGCTTAGTTCTGCTCAATCTAATAGCCCTAGCTTTATTGCTTAGTTCTGCCAAGTAATGTGTTGAATTATGTAAACCTATTAGACCAAAACTCTCATGATAAATATATCTATACATATAATGAATCTTCTGACTTAAATCTTAGTTTCAATTAATCTCTTGCATCTTCATCTTGATTTCAATGCTTAGATTGAATATAATAAATATTAATCTGGATATGTGCTAGCTTGTTTGCTTCTGTAATGGTTTTCCATGACATCACATTGTAAGGGTAGAGCTCTTCAATGGAAGAGGAGGTGTGGTCAGATGCTGCATTCAGAAGATTGACCAAACAGGGCTGGATGTCATTGCACTGGAAGAGCCACAAGTATTTCTTCCTAAAGGGACACAATGGCATGTCTTTGCAGCTTTTGGTGAGTCTCTAATTATTGCAGTATTTTAAGTAGTTCTATTTTATTCTACTGTATGCAACTTGGTAATTATGTGTTTCAAATTGCTGCTATTCAGGTACATTGAAGGGCAGTCGGGCAGATTGGCTGGTTGAGAAATGCACAGTATGTTCTAAATGTCAATATAGAGACTATTTTGTTGAAGCCTTGGTTTTTACCTAGCAGACAGTTCTTTTTCTCCTCAGGAGCTAGGAGCAAGTAGCATAACACCTCTTCTAACTGAACGTTCACCTTCAATATCAGAAAATCGTGTAGACAGGTTGCAACGGGTCATCCTAGCTGCTGTTAAACAATGTAGGTAACCAGTTCTAATTAGTTTTCAAAATATTCAGTCTTAATATGAGATTTGTTTTCTCTATCTCGCCTTGATTTGTAATTTTAGTACTCATTTAGGGCATGGGGTTGAAAGTCATTTGAATCATTTCACATGTGAAACTTAAGTTAGGGCGTGTCTATTTTAAATTTATTTATGCTGTTCTTATTTGGTATTTTCTTAAGATTTGTTAATTGTTTCTTTACTAGGTCAACGGCTGCACGAAATGTCTATGAATCCTTCTACCAAAATTGGCAGCCTTTTGCCTATTGTGAGTTTTCTTTTTTCCCCTAGTATATTTAATAGATTTCCAAGATATTTTGATTATAGTTTATTGAAAAAACACTTAACAAGGCAATGATCAATTATGGTTGTACTGTGGATATTTTAAGAATTAATATCTTAAATTTTGTACTGTGGATATTTTATAGACTTCCTCATGAGGCATGCTTTACCTTTTATGTCAGGTGTCTGTTTTTCATCAATTCAATGTCTATGAATGAAAATATTAGAAGACAACTCCTCTTAGTTACATTTGTGTTGCTACTGTTCTAGGTTGCCCAGTCAAAGCTGTCTTTCATAGCGGTGGCAGAAGCAACTCCCCTTATTACTACCCTGACCTGCTCAAGAGTAGAAGCAAGTGGGCTCATAATAATTGGACCAGAAGGGGGTTAGTACACATTATACTTAATCCACCCCTATTTTCTTGATCTCTCGTTTATATGCATGTGTGTGTATTTTGGTGAAACTTTAGATTTAGTGTAGCAGACTGCTTTGGTTCAATATTGCTCTGGTTTAATCTGGGCTTACCATAGTCTGAACCCATACTAAACTGATGCTGTGGCCTCACAAGTAAAAAGATAAGTAAAAGAAAGAGGAAGGAATGTGTTATTGAATCATCATTAGACTGGATGGTTTGCACATTTTCCCATGCAGATAATCTGGTTTGGCAATTCTGTCTATTACAGCATTTCAATTCAATTTGCCAACCAAATAGGTACCCTGGCAGGGAATACTTCCTAGTTCAACCTGATCTAAGCAACCACTCTAGTCGAGTTTTTACAACATTATAACATATAGTTGATTGGTTTAGAGCTTAGACAGGTTACTTTAACATGTATTGGTCAAGAAAAATTATATAGTTATCAAAATATGAGATTGATGTCAAGGGTTTTACCTTTATAAAAGAGCTACTAATTTATTTGCATTTTTTGTTGGGTTTCTAATGTTTCAGACTTCACTGAGAAGGAGGTGAAGATGATGACTGAAGCAGGTGCTACTGCTGTTGGGCTTGGGCCAAATCGTCTAAGGGTTGAGACTGCGACAATGACACTTTTGGCAACTCTGATGTTATGGTCTGACTCTCAACAGCAACAAGATCCTTAATTGGTCCAGTCATTAGTCCACTTCTAGACCCGTGTATGTGCATTTCTGGGACACCTTTTAAAATTGTTGGATCCTTTGTCATCCTTAATCCCCAAATCATTACTCGTGTAAGAATATATTCTACATGAAGGCTATACAAAGGGAAAAAAATGAACATGAATAGGGGGGGAAAGATTAACAGTTTATCCTGGTTTTGATTCCTCATCAGCTTATACCTTTTAGGGTCCGTTTGGTTAGTGGGAATAGAGTTCTGGAGTAGGAATCAGAATGGCCATTTCAATTCCAACCATTTGGTTGGACGGAGTTAGAATCTGATTCCCATTCCTGGTGGAATGGCATTCCTCCATTTGAGGGAATGACCATTCCCTCCCCCTCCCTTGGGAATGAGAATCCTATTCCAGTTGATTCCAATTCCTGTCTGAACCAAACGGGCAGGGGGAATAGACCATTTCAATATGATTCCGGTCCTGACTGTGAACCAAATGGACCCTTAGTTGATTGTAGTGATTTCAAGCTGAAGGGATTTTCAGAGTATCCCATGACTTGTTGCTTGAAGTGCTTTTGTTGCTTTGGCAGAGCAATTAAATAGATGGACAAATCAACCATTTGTTTTTTGCACCTAATATCAATCATTTACATGAATGAAGGATGACATTAAAGAAATGGTGCCTATAGAATCAGAGCAGGATGAATGAAGTGGTGATGTTCTTAAGAGTATTGTTGGTTGAGGTAAACGAGCCATGTGGAAGGAATATGTTTTATGTGATAGTTGTAAGACCAGACATACTTCATGGGAATAGAATGTTTTGGCAATCAAGAATCAAGGCATCCACAATTTCACATGATAGTTAATATGGACATGATGATGTTCTGATGGGTAAGGAGCCATCTTGCCCAGGTTTGGCAAGGATATGCCATAGGTGGTAAGAGCATGTGTTTACATAATTATTACTAAAATTCAAACACATATTCAGGGTTCATTTGAAGTGTTTTAAGTATTACGCATGAGAAATGGGATTAGAAAGAACATAATTAGCGATACATTCAGAGGTCATGGGTGGGAATCTAGTTGTAGTCTAGATAGGTGAAAAGATAACAAAAGTTGACTAACGATTAAATGGTTTAGTCATGTGCATATGTGAAATCATAAAATGTTTTTCCTGCTCTTGGATTTCTTTGGTTATATGAGCACATCTTCATTGCTATCTGTATTACTGAAATATGATGACGAAAACTGAAAATTATGGTACTTGAGAAGGAATGAAGTGGATTAATAGTAAGTATTATTATCCCCTCTACATAATTGTTATTGATGTGAAATTGTTAATCTATGATCAAGGTTTGCATCTTGTCAGAGAAGTCGAGAACGAAAAATAGAAGCTCAAAATACGATGGGAAATAAAAGACAATCCCATGGTTTGAGATGTTTTACACTTTTACTTCGTTAGATGCTTGTGTTGGCATCTCATCAGAGAGAAGTGTTCATGGTGTTCTGCATGTCTACAAGTGTTTTATATTTCCTCTTAGCCACTTCGATTGGCGCTCATGAAAGTTGAAAATTGAAATCCAGTTTTCCTTGAGTTTTCTTTAAACTGACCTTTCAAGTTTGTATTTTATTTTAAAGTCTTCTTTTCATCTGTTCTTTCCTCAGTCCTGTAAGCTTACAAGAAAACTTATGGACTGAGTGTCTAATATTCAACATAGATGTGCTTTGTGGCCCATTGTTTGTTATTTTCTTTTGATGTTTCTTTGCTTGCAGTTTTGACTTTGATTCTCTCTAGGACTGGTAGATCTATATGAGGCAGGTTTTTATATGTTGGCTCTGTATATTGACAGGAACACAATTCAATATTATAAGCACACGACACAAGAGGAGCGATGGGGCCACCATTCCATTGCTCCATCTGCTACAAGTCAAGACACAAGCGTACATGAATTCTTGTAAGTTGCAACCGTTCAATCTAAACATGTTATATTGGATATTTGACAAGATTCTCTTCCAATTCCAATTATGCGCAATCAGGTTGTATGTTGATCATCAATAACCAAGGGGCTGTTTGGAAAGTCTTTTTAAGTAAATCTTTCGACAACCCAGCAGACCGAAAGACATACCTAGTTTTATTTTTTTTTTGGACTTTGTCTTTAAAGGCCAAGATTGTTTGGTAAGTATCCTGGTCTACGGGCTGTTAAAAACAGAGTAGAAGGAAAAACCACATTTTGGTCTTTGGGCCTTTGAAAAACCAGGAAGACCCGCGGGGGGGGAGGGAACCCCAAATGCCCTAGAGGTTTAGGCTGCATTTGGCATTCCTTGTTTTAAGGACTTATCTCCTTCAGTTAAAAACTCATTTTTTATAAGGGCATTTTAACTGCAAAAAAAAGATGCAAGTCCTTAAAATAAGCAATGCAACATTAGGATCATCCAGCTAGATTCTATAGTTTAGTTTTCCCCTTTTAAATCCATCACTTTGATTCAGTGACCCGAAGACATTAGACTCATCCATCAAAAACAAAGAATACAATACAAACGGTCATTGTCTTGGATCTTGAGCCACATGACCCTGGAACGGTGTGCGGGGAAGAGCTTTCACAATTAATTTAGCGAATTCGGGTTTTCAAGAGGTCTACTCCAAATATTGGGCCAGTCATAACGCAACATGTTAACTCTGTACACATGGATCCCATTTGTCATAGACGTGGTGTATCATCTTTACCGTCCTGGGACTGGAGCTCTGATCTGCTACCTAACAGATGTTTCCACATCTCTACCCACGAGATATGACGACTGCACATTGGGAATATCTCCCTTCTTGCTCTGTAGGTATGGATGGAGTTCAAATCTGCACCCCATGGCCTGGCGTTCCAAAAGTGCTCCACACAATGAAAATCAGCCAAGTGTCCTCTCACATGCATTTTCTCCTCAGAGTGTGCGGAGCTAAAAAGGACTAGTCTGTAAGACTCGACCTGCATTGTGTAACCTGACCCCTGCACCTCATCCATTCAAGCTGGGCAATATATCCGGCGTCTCTCTCTCTCTCTCTCTCGTCCTAGAAGTTTAGAACTAAATTTGGACTACATTCGGCCTATCAGCCACCAGATAATCGATTCTGGCGATCATACCGTCCTGCAATACCTCTATTATACTATATGTGAAACAGAATATTAGTATATTACCATACGAAAATGCTAAAGAGGACGAACCCTTAAAGTAGTTGGATGGAGAGTTTAAATTTATCAAAACCATGATAAAAAGACTCCAAGAATACCCATTTTCCAAATTCAAAGAGGGAACAATCAGAGAAAACATTATAGAAATACAACCAAACCCACTTTACAGGGTTTTTAGGAAAAAAATGAGAGAACCACAGATATTTATCCTCCATACAGCGAGAAATATGTACGAAAAGTACAAAACAGAAAAAAAAATAAAAATAAGAGAAGAAAAAATGCCTGAAATGAGATAAAATAGGAACCCATTTGAAGTTCAATGCAGAACACCCGGGACTATAAAACCCTCGATAAAATCTATATAAATGTACGGACGGGCGAGTTGCATGCACAAGGTTTTTGCGTTGCGGAGCAATGAGTGAAGTGTGGTGGCCTGGTGGGAGTCTGGTAGTACGTGTAGGAGGTGAAACGTGGAGCGTGAGTTTGGTTGTCTGGCGCTGGAGAGCAAGTGTGGAGTTCAAGGTTAGTTCTCGACCGAAATGAGATGACAAAGAACGGAGTCAAGAGAAGCGGAATGAGATTTTTGGATCTTTTGGGAGCTAACAGAATGAATTAACGTCCCTGACGTTAGTTTCGCACGCATCAAGGCAGGTGCAGGAGCGGGAGGACGCTTGGCAGGCTTTCATTGTACGAGGCGTTTTTGGGGCGCAAATTTGAATTTAACGTTGTGGGTAGCAGATCCCGAGTCGGGACAAGAATCGTTTATCGGTATTTTGGTGCAGGCACCGGCCACTGAGCATGGTGTAAGTTGGACACCTGGTGGTAATAACTCTTATTAGCCAATAATACATGATTTTGTTTTTCAAAACAAAGACAACTGCCGGTAACCGTAAACATCCCCATGGCTTTACGGGGAGGGGGTTCGGCTTCAGTCAAAACTTGATGGGTTCGAACACCGTTCGAACATTATGAGAGAATGACACGTGTTTATAAGTGCGTGTGGATTTTTCATTCGTGCGGGGATGATAAATGGGCGTTTACCATGAACCTCATTAGCCAAACCCTCATTCAAAGTATTTTTGTGAAAAAATCTTTCGTTCTCTTTTTTCTGGCGTCTCTCCATTCTCCACCAAAACTTTTCATTCTGCTATCCTCTCCAACCGGCGAAGGCAAGCTTTTTCTGGCGACCGACAAAAAAGGTTTAGTGCTTTTCTCCTTGCGGTGGTTCATCTACAACTGAAACCCCAAAAGGCAAAAGGCATCAACGGCTTAATCTGCAACTTTGTGCTTCTATGGCTTCATCTGCAACGGCTTCATCTGCGGTGGTTCAATTACTTTGTACTTCTACGGCCAAGGTTTAAAGTATTAGAAACGTAGGGTGTATCGGAAAGATAATTTTAAGAGACATATCGAGATACACTTTGGATACGTATGGATGCGGATGAAAAATCAAGATACACATAAATATGCTAAAAAACTCAAATAAATCCTAAAAAATATATTAATAATGATAGTTACAAGTTTTATATGATTTAAATAAGTTATTTAAAAGTAAAAAAAACTATAATTTAATGGTCTATATAAAATTCGAGATATCAGAACACACTTAGTAACTATTGACAAATGATGGAATAACTCAAATGTGAAAAAACAAAAAAAAAACTAAAATGTATATTGATATATATTGTTTTAAAATAATCAATATAATTTATCTTAATATTTTACTAATGCATAAATTTTAATAATTAATTCTAACATTTATTGATAAGCATACACTAAGAAAAAGAGAAAATTTACTTAAAAAAAATGCATAAACCTATAACAAGCAAATGGGCGTGGCTTAGTGGTGAACCTCTCTAGTTGTTAAAGTCTAATGTCCAAGGTTTGAATTTTGCTATTGGTAAGTTTGTAGTTTTATACTAACAAAACGAATTTAATGAGAAAGAGGGTTATTAATTAACGAAATTAATGAGAAGAGAATTCCAATTAGGCGCTAAAATTGAAATTCAAATTTAAAAGGACTGCTATCAGGGTGTATCGAACTGTTTCTGATATCGGCCGATAAAGACTTGAAATAGCCCGATACAGATCGATACATACGAAAAAGAACGCTACAGATAATTTCTATGCATTCCATGTATTGGATTTATATCGAAACGATGCGTATCGGCCGATACGATACGTTGCGAAATTTGAAACCTTGTCTACGACATCATTTTACTTTGTTCTTTTCTCCCTGTGATGATTCAATTACTTTATTTTGTGCTTCTACGACTTCATCTGCAGTGGTTCTAAGAAAACCACGAAGGGGATAATAACTAAGAAACAATTGAGAAAACCATAAGACCATAATTCAGAGAAGGAGAAGAACAAAGGAGAAATTCTCTCATAAAAGACATATACAAGAGGGGCCGAAGGCCACAATATATATACAAGTTGTGGATAGAAAAATAGTAAGTAAAAGAAAAAGAAAGTAAAGGAAAAAGGAAAGTCTGGCAAGATAATATACACCTTCATAATTCAGAGGATATACACTTTCTTAATTGTAATTTCCTATTATACACCTTCATAATTCGTGGGATATTACTTACTTTCCTATTACTCCCCCTCGAGTTGGAGCATGAGGGTTCGAAATGCCCAACTTGCAAAGGAGAAATTGAAATTGTCGCTTGCCAGACCTTTAGTGAACAAATCCGCTAACTGTAAATGTGATGGAAGGTAGCACGGTAAAATTTTGCCAGAAAGCAGCTTCTCACGTACAAAATGGCAATCTACTTCGATGTGTTTGGTCCTCTCATGGAAAACGGGATTGCTTGCAATGTGTAAAGCTGCATTGTTGTCACAGAAAAGACTAGTGGTTCCTGACTGTGGTGTTAATAATTCACTCAATAGTCTCTACAACCAGACTACTTCACTAGTAGCCATGGCCATGGCCCTATGTTCTGCTTCTGCCGAGGATCTAGATACTGTGGGTTGTTTCTTGCTCCTCTAAAGAACAGGAGAAGAACCAAGTTGGAAGTACAATCCTGTTATTGACTTTCTGGTCAAAGGGCAGCTTGCCCAATCTGCATCGCAGTATCCTCGCAATACCATGTCATTCTCACCATTTAGTAATATACCTTGCCCTGGGCATCCCTTGAGGTATATCAGAATGTGCACCAGGCCGTTCCAATGTTCAACTCGGGGTTGCTGGACGAACTGGCTAAGCACATGCACAGCATAAGTAATGTCGGGCCTCGTGATTGTCAGATACAATAGTTGTCCCACCAATCTTCGGTACTGATTGGGATCATAATGAAAAATCCCATTAGCGTACCCCAAATGATGATTTTGCTCAATTGGGGTGTCTACGGGTTTGCATCCAGTTAGTCCAGTTTCTTTCAAAATGTCTAGAACAAACTTGTGTTGATTCAAAAACAATCCAGTAGTGGACCGAGCTACTTCTATCCCAAGGAAATATTTCAAATTTCCTAGGTCCTTTATCTTAAAACAACTGTTGAGATACGCCTTGAACTCTGCACACGTTTCTGAACTGTTCCCAGCTAGTATAATGTCATCAACATACACCAAGAGACCAAGAAAGACGTTTCCCTTTCTGTATATGAAGAGAGTGCTTTCCGCAGTGGATTGCCTGAAACCATACTCATGCAAGGATGCTGTCAGCTTTGCGAACCAATTTCTAGAAGCCTGTTTTAGGCCGTATAGAGATTTTTGTAGCCTGCATACTGCATTTGGTTTTTCGGAGCTGAAACCTGGTGGGAGTTTCATGTAAATTTCTTCTTTGAGGTCACCATGCAGAAACACATTGTTTACATCCATTTGATGAAGTTCCCATCCTTTTGCTACTACCACTGCTAAAAAAGCACGAACAGACACATGCTTTGTTACTGGGGCGAAAGTCTCTGTATAATCCT